GGTTCCAATCAGGACTATTCAGAAAAGTCGCGCTCTAAAGCTAATTTGTATTCGGTTCCCGTGAAGCAAAGAGCAAAGTGGCAATAAGTTTGCTTCGTTTAATAAACTGACGAGACAAGCTGAAAAGAGTAGGAAGTCGCACGCGGAATCGAGGAATCTTTATGCTAAATATGCACCAAGTTACGTAACGTGTATGTTTTACATTCGAATCGGCCCGTTTGCGATATTTGCGTGTAGGTACACGTTTAATAGCGTGTTCGGTCTGCTCGCGTGTTACGTAGACGTACGCGAACGCAAGTGGCTCCTCGACAATAACGCTATGAGATGAAATACTTGAAAATGACACGCAATTCCATGGCAACAGTCTCAAATTAGTTACGCGACTGTCTGAATCATTGCCTCCATATAATTAAGACGATACTTTCAGTGTCAGTCCCGTTTACGTAAGTAAAAAGGTGCTTTACATTAACAATATTCTGGAACGCGTTCGACTGCGCCCAGGAAATAAGATTTATTTAGGTTAAACAAATGAGATACGTTGAGATCATGTTTCCTTGACTCTGCTAAATTTTTATTCACTTCTGCTAAAACATTTGAAGAAATGGATATGAATTTCCTTAGAAATTTCCGTCTTAATGAAATAAAATTGCAAGATAAAGAAATCATTTCTTTGAAATGAAATGAAAAGTCTAGTGAGGTCAAAATTGAAAGAAAATTTGTTTCATTTCCCAGAGGCTTTTTTCTGACTGTGTAACAACGAACGAAAAGCAAGCAAAAGTAAAATGGTACGATGATAAATTAAGTTATCAAGCAATGGTAGACGATAACGAGTTTATTAGAAGGATTCCCCCAGAGGTGCTTGACAATCAGGAGATCTAGGGATTATCAAAGGCAACAATTAAAAGGGACAGATAGTGCGTGGCTGTGGGTTGTCGACATACCGCAATACCGGTTTCTCGTTCGCAGACAGGTTTCTCCTGTCTGACCGGCATAATGTACCAGCGGTAAGAAACACCAGCGATACGCCGAATGGATGGAAAGTGAAAGATCACAGACATTGCACTTGCCTCGCTGCAGCGGCTGTCCCGAAACGCGCGCTATTAAAGCCGACGAGTCACATCGCCGGCGCGAAATTAGCGACGCTATTTTCGACCGGGCACTATTCCCCGAATATTTCCGGTACGCGCAATGCAATTGCAGAAGTACGAAAAATAGACCGCCCTAAGAGGCATCGCGACCGCAGCGATAACGAAAGCGTTAACGTGGTCGTCTGAATTTAGCCTGGGAGTAACGCTCGGAAAAGTGTACGGTATTTGTAGAGAAATGCTCTCTAAAAGTTAATCGGTGGAATTGTCATTAAAAACAATGAATAGTCACTGATTTACAGTTATAAATATACACTAACAAAAATTTTTTTTAACTAAGTAAATAGATTTAACTTTTTTTGCTAAAATAAATATTTATTCTATTTAAATAAAAGTATCAAATTTCGAGAAAATATATGTATTATATTAAGTAAATTAATTTAAATCATTACATTTTCTGTTATACATTCAAATCAAGATTTCATGAGATATCGAATACTATTTATTAAATGAAATAATTGTTTTTGTTCAATAAGAAATCCAATTTTCTTCGCTGTGAAAATTACATCTTGGTAAACATTTTATAGAATTAAAATACAATTTTTTAAATTTAAAATTATCTATTCTTTGATATTTATACTTAAATTAAAGCAATGCATGTTTTAATTTTATTACTGTTTAATGTTATTACTTTTTAAATTTAAGTTAATAAGCTATTAGGAGCCACCTAATAAATAATTTTCTTGAGTAAAGTAATATTTTCTTTATTAAGATATTTTTCATCACTATACCACTGCGATTTTCAGTATAAGTACTTACAATTGCAAATCAGGGACTGTCCGGACTGTTCACTGTTTTCAGTGATAATTCATTGAGTGACTTTTAGAGAGCGAGTTTCCACGCCATGTAAGGTATTAATTGTTAAAACAGTTTCTAAAAATTAATCCTCGAAATTGCTAAAAAAAGATTATTATATTTTTTACTGAAACATTTTTGCGAAATTTCGACTTAGAAAATGTCGCTTCTCTTGCGAGCTAAAGGATTGTCATACTTTTTACTTATTCAGTTATTCCAGTCAAAGTTTTTGACTGATGCCACTTTCTCTGCGAGCCGAAAAGATTGTCAACCGTCACGTAGAATCGGACGGGACGCGTTCAACGCGAGCGCGTTACAAGGACTTCATTGTTGAACGGAACGGAGCGTTCGCCAGGCTAGAAAACGCGGTTGTGAAGATACGCGCATTCGCCACCCGCGGGGTGATTATCGCTTTTTTATTTAATATTCATGACGCGAACGCGCGCGCAGTCGTACGAGGAAATGGTACGATATGCAAATCGCGCTCAAGGACGAGGCGAGTATCGACATGTGTTCCTGTCTACGTGAGCGGATCGCCGAAAAAACTTATTGATATTCCTCGCTATGTCCTTGCGTCTCTTCAAATTACAAAGTAAATCCACAAGTGAAAACTACGTCCTGTGAGCACGCGAGGAAGTTCCGTTTTAGTTCGTTTCTTCTTTGCGCGCAACCCTAGCGGAAAAAATTGCTATAAAAAAATGACTACAAAAATTGACTTGAAATAGAAACTCGTAGAAATTTTTATATCTTCGTTGAAACATTTTTTTTAAATAAAAATATCTACGAAATAGTACCACAAATTACAATGTTCTCAAATCAAGCAATTATTGTAAGTAGTATTTCATGAAAATGTACAATTTTGTAAAAATTAGTACAAAACTTTACCAGTTTAAAAAATTTGAGAAACAACAAAATCTTAAAGAGTTAAAACGTCTGCTTACTTGTAGAATATTACAAAAATTAACAAAAGTGTTTCAATTCTAGCATTTTTATTTACGTAGAATTTCTTAGATTCTGGCAGTTATATTTTGTAGTTTTGTAGAATGTTGTAGAATTATTTCTGGCAGGGAACCGAAGAATTATTCGCGCGTGAGCAATGGTGTGCGCAACTTTTCCGAAAAGAAAAAACCTATATAGAAGAATAAATCTATCTTGAGAAGCGATTATTGATAAAGGAAAAAAATTTCGACGATTCGAAGAATAATCGCAAGCTGTTGAAACGGTTTTTATATCCCTCAATCATTAAATCGATCTTTGATAATGAATCCCTCCTTCTCCCTCGTCCTCTCCAATTTTGTTCAACATTGAAATGAGCGGACTCGTATCGATCTTCGCTCTATACTCGATATAAATTATAATATACATTATGTTTTCCTTCGTTACCACTTTTCAGGACGAGGAATTCTTAATTAAAAGCATTTAATCCGGTTTAGCCTGGATTAAACCTCGCATTATTTTAGATTATAGATTAATCCAGCCAAGAAGAAGCGTCCGATAAAAGGTTGCACCTTGTTTCCTATTACCCGGCTGTTTAACGTTGCAAATTGCAGAACAACAGTGCTGCTCATCCCGTCCTTCCGATTGCTCTAATTGTTAATAGCGTAACCGCCTACCGCTGAGAAAGATGCTGTACCAATGGAAGGTCAAGGCCTGGCGCAATCGATACACACGGCTCCTCTCAGCGTGTACCGCACACTTAACTCGCGTCAAACACCGATCCCACCTTGTGGGACTGAATTGCCCGAGTTGTATTAATAAGCGCTTGTTGGCCTTAAGAGCAATCGACCAGGGAGGAAGATAGAGAGAGGGAGAGAGGAAGCGAGTCTCTCTCGCATTTCAGGCAATTATTATGTAACTCCGCGAGTGCGGAAAAGCGAGACTGGGCTCGTCACGAGACGACCCTGAAGGAGATTCTTTACGTAATGACTTTTTATGCCCCGCGTGGGTTTTTATCAGTCGCCAATACGCGAACCGCCGGCGATTGGGTGGACTGCGAATAAATCAATGGCGCAGGCCTAAATACATGATATCCACGTTGAATAAATCATACTGAGGAGCGTGTTTTTCCATTTCCATCCCGGCCTTGGGATCGGTTGAGCGCGAGCCTAAGCGGCCAATAGAGCCAAGTACGGCCGTTTGCGCTGTGATTGCCGGCTTTCTTGCGCGAGAAACGCGCGAACGAGCGGCGGAGCAGCGAGCCAGGAGATTGCGAGAGGCAAGGTAAAAGTAAACGGGTCGTGGCAAGAAACGGGAACGAGCGGCGAACAGGACGATGCGCCGCGCACACGAGCGAGCCTCGAAGAATTGTTCGCTTGTGTGCCCGTCTAGACGAGCCGAGCAGATTTTATGGAATCGACAATTGGTGATTTAGGCCCTGAGCCCTAAAAATTTGACTGCTCACAGTCGAGTATTCTTCTTACTTTCGACTGTAATTGGTCAATTTCTCAGGGCTTAGCGCTTAAATCGTGCGTTGCAGACTGGGACGAATTTGGAGGAAAGTCCCCTGTTATGAGATATAGGCCTCTGATACGAGATAGCAGGCTTTCAACGCCGAAATTCAATCGCGAATCCCTTTTCGCAACGATCTAACAATCAATTCCCCCACTGAACAGGTTTCACTCCAAGGGCGATAAATTCATGGTGAAACCGACAGATGATGCCTGTTATAATAATTTAGCAGAGACTCCGCTATCTCACATTAAAAGCCTAATAGGGGACTTCCCTCTGCGTCACGACTCTCAAAAGTCGCGTTATTCGAGGTCCCGTTTTGATTAATTGCAGGTTTTTCAAGTAGAACGGTGTACGCAAACTGTCCGCAGACTGTCGTGTATCTGAAGAAATAGATTTTATCGGATTCGCGCGATTCTACGTTCGATTGTACGTAAAAGATAGATCAACCCGCCTGCGATAGCAGTAGCCTCGAGGAGCGAGCTAATTGACTTCGAAATAAAACGTTTGGTACTTCTTGCCCCGGGTACTTCTTGCCGGGAAGGAAGAGACACGTTGGTAATCCAATTAGCGTCGATCATTACATTCGTCTCTGGGGAAACACGTTTCCCGGGGAAGCTCGAAAACGGGGGTGAAAACGCGTCGTCGACTCGATAAGTTATTAATTCAACTTATCATTTGCCTATCTATATTTGCAAGGAATGGATTTCGCTGCAGGATCGCCGAGTGCCCATCGAGTGAACAATTTACCCCATTAATCCCGCAACTCCGAAGCTGGACGGCTCGTAAATTGAGCATTCGCTGTCCTCGCTACGAGGAGAGCGTACACGTCGTTGACGGAAACGACTTGACAGACGTTCGTTCCGATCCTCGTTAACGCGCTGTTAACCAGCTCCGAAACTGGGTATTCGGTATTTTCCGAGGTGGATCGAGGAAAACTGTTGCTCCACGGGGAATTAGTAATCCTGCTCACGCGACAACTTATCCTTGGAAAAGAGGCACTCTGCGAGGACGTTTTACCGTGAATCCAGCTTGTCTTGCTTAAAATACAGTCTTGACCTTTGGGCGTCCAATATTTTCATCGAAGAAAAAAAAAACTCGAAACGCGCGTCATCGACGAGATGATAAATCGGTTAACGTGACACTCGGGGAAGATCGAAATCTGTATAAATATCCGCTTTAGTGGCGCAATTTGTTGGTATCATTATTTTTGAAAAAGATAGACATCTTTTCTTCTAATAAAATATATCAAAACGATTAGCCAATGTAGAAAATTGCATGACGACCCATGGCTGGCAAATTCTAATTAAAGAAATTCATTGCGAAAAATATTACCTCCACGGTGGAATCCACGAATTGGTTGAGACGCCCGCCCTAGAGTGTAGGGGAGGTCCAGGTTCAAATCCTGGCTGAGGTAATATTTTTCGCAATGAATTTCCTTTAATTAGAATTTGCCAGCGATGGGTCGTCGTGCAATTTTCCACATTGGTTAATCAATTACTGGCGTTAAATAATTCTTTACAAAATAATTAAATCATATAATTCTTGATTGGATGGCGCTTATGCCTGGTGCCTTAAAAAAAAATGATTTTTTTAAGGTGCTCGATTAACGTGGCACTCAGAGGATCGAAATTTGTATAATTATCCACTTTAGTTGGCGTAATTTGTCGATATCATTACTTTTGTAGAAAAGATGGGCATGTTTTCTTCTAACAAAATATATCAAAATAATTGAATTATATAATTCTTGATTGGATGGCGCTTATACTTGGCGACTTTTAAAAAAAATTGTTTTTTTAGGGTGTTTGATTAACGTGACACTCGGAGAGGATCGAAGCTGTTTCCGCGTTAATCAACCGCGGTGCGGTCGTGCGTGATTATTCAACATTCGTTGATGTAATAACAGAAATGGAGAAAACGTGTCGACGAGATAATAACGTCTGAGGAAAGTTTGCACGGAAAGGATTTCGTTGCCAGTGATTAAAGTCGCTTAATCACCCGGCAAGCGGAAGGTCCCAGGTTTACATCCTGGCCTAGTCCAAGCCCGTATTACTTCGCTCGCTTGGCGCGTCTAAGAAACATTCTATTCTGCGCGAGCAAGTGTAAACCCTTAAAAAACTTGTCGACAAAGTGTCGTGCAATTTATTCACTCGCGCAAACGTTTTAAACGTGTCCGCCGGCTACGAAGTAGAATGTTTCCAGACGCAAAGAGCACGTTTGTAGATTAGGGTTTAGTGCCTACCACCCCGAGGACACTGTTTATCATTACGGCGATTAGAATCGTTTGATTTAATCGAGGCGCGGGCCGCGAGCACCGGGCGGGCACTCGACGTTTGCCATTTAACGACGAGCCGCGGAACGTGTCGCGCTCTCAAGTAAAAACTGTTGACGCAGCCGACTGGGAGATTGACGCTTACTGTAAGGCGGCCGTTCGGTCTCCCAGATGAGCGTGCCGCGATGAAAGTACACGCGGCACCGCTTCTTCTTCACGACGAAGGTGTTGAGCAGCACCGACTTGGAGGAGGCACGCTGTTCGTCGGCGGGGCCGCCGGAGACGTCCTGCATCATCCTGGGGGCCGCTTCATCGACGGGGCAGGAGGGGGGGGGGGGGCAGGGGACGGTTTCAGCGGTGTCGACGGCGCGGCTGAGACGTCATCCCGGAAATGATCGACGGCACCGCAGCGACGACGGTGCCGGGAGGATCGTCGCGGAAATCGGGGAAAGGAGCACGGCGGCTCGCGCGCGGTCAGCTGCTCCGCGATCGATCACGCACACACGCTGAAAGCTGCGCGCACCGACACCGTGCGCCTATTCCCTGCCCGGTCGGACGCGCGAGCGAGACTGACTGACTGATCGCGCGCGCGAGCTCCGCGGCCCGACGCAAAGCTGCTGGGGAGCTGGGAGTGCGCGGCGACGCGCACTCCGGTGCACTCCGGTACGCGTGCACTCGCCGCCCGCGATGCAGTGAGTCAGATCTGTCGAAAGCGCGTGAGACGCGCGGGCGCGCGTATGATCGAGTTTTCCATACGACGTACGTCGACGGAATCGTTGCCTCTCACGCCGGTGCCATCGGGGCGAGCTAAATTAATTTAGGACTCGTCAGATACAGAGAATTGAGCCCCGGTGATTACTGGAAAAAGTAAACGGTAACAATTACTAAAGAACTCACCCCGTGTTGATGAAGTTTGAGATTGAAATTAACTTGTTGTTTCTGTCGCGGGTACAATTTTGAGGATTTTAACTATCGGTTGTGTCTCGACGTCCTTATGTTACGTTACATTTGAGAGATGCTATAAAGATAACAATTAGTGTGTTATAAGTTGTAAAGTAACAAAGACATTGCGAAAATATATCTCTTTTAAATTATATTATATTTTGCATATCCTCTAGTATGAGATGTAGCTTCGAATGTATAACTTTCATATACTTTTTTAAATTCTCCCTCTACTGAAACGCCGTCGACTTTAGTGTCATTTGGCGAAACATTCATATCGATTATTGATAAAGTAGATACCACTGTTATTAATAGTAGATAAGTACAGTCTGTTTGACAAGAGCGTGTACGGCGAAACTTTCTCCTAGAAACCGTTAGAGGGGGGGGGGGGGGATTTAAACGCGAGCAGGTAACGGGACTCGGCTCCCAATTTGTATAGAAAGTCTTAGTTGTCGTTTGATCTCACAGAAGGACATATTTAACCATGAGTGCCGCATCGCGTTACGAGGCCGCGTTTCTACGTTTGCATCCGAAAGGACCAAAAATGTCGTACGGAGCGGCCGCTAAGCACGTGCAAAAATCCATGGTCGGTATTCATAGTCAGATCTTATATTCAAGACCGTCCTAAGATCATCTTTAGATACTCCGTAGCCAATGAAATGTTCCATACAGCATCTTTAGATAAATTCAAGACGGTCTTGGATATATAAGATCCGATTATGAATACCGGCCTATGCATAATGTGTGTGTATTTTTTTCAATTTATTATCCCGTTTTTGAGTTTCGCCGTACACGCTCTTGCCAAACAGACTGTACAAAAACCTTACAATTAAATATATTAGATGCTTTTTCCATTCAGTGACACAAGTTGACACAAGTGTTACTCTGTCGTTGTTATTCATTGAGTATCAAGAGAACTATAGAAGGACAGTTGCGTTGTATCACTAAATGGAATTATTAATCAATACAAATCTGTTCATTACAGTTTCCGTTCATTTTCTTCCTATTACACATGGCGTTGCAGTCACACGCTATATTACGAAGTAACAATCATTATCAAACCTGTAGGTAATCTCGTCACACATTTATTTTCTGATACAATTAACTTAGATACACAATGACAGGAAGCTTCATCTGGTATAATCTTACCCACAAGTTTCAGAACACTTTTCGTGATAGCGATCCTACGTTCACGGTTCTGTCGACGGGTCTGAAAACGGTGCAAATATTTAATCCGCAAACACGATACAGTCCGTTCAAGCGAGGCTCACGAGTTATCCACATGATTGGTCGAACTGTAAAACCGAATGGAAATGGTTCGAAGCCGGGGTTGTAGTCGCGCGAGTAAGTGAAACGATTGCACACATCTCTCGGACAGGTCTCCGCAAGTCTGGAGACATGGGGAGGAAATACGGAAACGCGAACGCAACGGAACTCGCGGGGAGCAGACCGTAGCCGTGATTTGCGCGGGAAACGTCACGAGGGGAGACGAGTACCGGCGCGATCGGCCGGGCGGCATTCCGAGCTTGTACGCCACGTATTTCGCGCACCCGGTGACATTTCGCCGACAGTTCCCTCAACATCCACTAAGCGCGCCTATCAAATGCCACGCGACGTACCTTTTGCTTTTCGCAGAGTCCGCGTTTACGTGCGAACGTGGGCGAGATCTTGGCAAAATTTTCCTTTACGTCGTGTCTCGGGACAAACGCTTGCACACAATAATTACAACAACATATACTTTTAGCAATTGTGATCACAATTTTGTGTACATAAATTTTAACTCGATAGTATCACACGTAGAATCGACAACCGACATGAATTCCACTCGGAACATGGAATAATTTAGGCGATGTTTTTCTTCGAGAAGGGTATCTCTCCATTTTATTTTCCGCGATGTGTAAATTAATGCAAAACGCGGAGAAGACACGCTGTTTGAGAACCGTTAGCCGCACGCCGGCGCGTTGATTGGCTCGTCGCGATAACGCGGCGCGCCCGAGTCAAATGACAGAGACGAACGCGGAGAAACGGCCAATGAGTGGCACGGATTGTCCCGTGACGATGGACCCTCGGTATGCCACGGCGCCTTCGGCTGCTACGGCCGATATCGCCGTGGTATTCGCGACCATAGACATATAAAAGATAGACTGCTTATGAGGTAGTGGGGGATGTCCTCCTGAGGGAAAAGGACAACACCAATTTATTTGGGTATCTATCTTCTTCTAGTGTACGTGATCACGTGATCACCTTCAGATCACGTCCACTAGAGAAAGACAGATACCCAAATAAATTTGTCCTTTTCCCTCAGGAGGAGATGCCCCCACCTAGGGTTCCACTGCCTCATAAGCAGTCTATCTTTTATATGCCTATGTTTGCGACACGCACACATCGGCGTAAATCGAACGTGTCGACCGGCTCTGGAACTACCGCCACTGTGCGTATGCAAGAGCGGCTCGTTTGAGCTTAAGATCAATGCGGATTAAATATGAATATCCCTCGCATCCGACGGCGCGCGTTGCTGTCCGCGCGAATGCGTCGGTTCCCCGTAAACGTCATTCGTAGGAATCGACACGCTGCGACAATGAAGCAGTGAAACTTAAAACTTAAAAATTTCAACTAATCGGAATTTTCAGCATTGCTCAAGTTTCAAAATGGCAGCTCGCGTTCTCGACAGCCGCCGGTCATTTCTCGATCTTAAGTTTCAAGTTTTACTTCTTAAGTTTTTTCGTGTGTTCGGGCCTTGAGATCTGCAATCCGTAAAAAACGAACCTGATACATTCAAACTGTGGCTGCTTTACTCTTAGAGGAGGCATAAATCGACACAGATTAGCACACTCGAGCACAGCTAAATGGCAAAGATTCCAAGAAAAAGACTATCGAAATACTGAATTAAGCGACCAAAACCACACTCTAACTCTCCTCCCGAACAGAGTCGAAGAGCGTTGATTCAGTTGGAATCGAACTTTAAATGGAAAGCGACTTATAGCCCAGAGCTTGGTATCTTTTTTAAAAAGATTTCAATAGAGACGTAGATACAGAAATCAAATGTTTTACAAATTTAAAAAACTGCAGACATTGTGCTGCTTATTAAACGTTTTAGAGTCTGAATAATATTACACATAAAAAAGCAGTAAACTTTTAAAAATATGACGAAGAAATTACTCGGGGAAAAAATTTTTTATGTAGAACATAATTGCGCCTGTTATGTTTCTCATTAAGGGGTCATTCCACTTTAACGGCCCAAAAACTATGCTTACCTTTAACAAGTTTTTTCACAGTAAATACACCATACAATGACATAAATCTTTTTGGGATTTATTAGGGCACTCTTAAATAACACAAAAAAATTTTATCATAATTTAAAATTCAACCTTACCAAAAAGAAAAGTCAAAAAGATTCTTACTGTATATGAGTGTCGCTGTGTCCCAAACCTCAACTAAGAATGTTTATTAAAAAATGGCAAAACGGAGCCAGTTTGAAAAAAGTCTTGTAAAGTGCTTCTCAAGAATTCAATATTCCTCAATGCAATTTTTCACTTTTCATGAGTTTACACTAGAGGAAAAGATTCATGATCGAGCGCCAGGTATCTAGAAACATTCGCATTCAGCAGCCAAGAAACACGCTTGAAAAATTTGTCGTACGACAAATGTAATATTAACCTAAGGCTAATATTACATTTGTCGTACGACAAATTTTTCAAGCGTGTTGACTGGCCGCTGAATCAAACATTTCTAGCTACTCGAGAATTTTACTATCCTGCAGCCAATCAACACCCGTAAAAGTTTGTCGACAAATGCAATACCAGCTTAACAGTAGTGCTTTCAACTTCGGAGTATACGGCGCTACTCGGACTCGCGAAAACGCATCGTCGGGAGACGCTCCGAGCGGGAGGGAATTGTCGAACTCGGCCGGAGTCAAGTGTATAGCCCGGCGACAAAGAGGATGCGGCGCGCCCGGAGGCCGGTGGGCCGGTCCGCAGGTCGCTACGCTCCTGCGGGACGGCGGCCGCGGGGCGCGTGCGCAGGTTCGAAATTGGCCAATCGGCGCGCGCGGCCGGCACCGTGGCGGTGGCACCGTGGGGGCTCGCTCGCGCCCTCGGTATCGCCGTGCCGGCGTTACCGCGTCCATTTTGTCAACGCGTACGGTCCCGATTAGTCGACGCCGGTGTGGAACAGTATAATTCCCATTTGCTGCGAGTTCGCGCGCGGGAGATCCAGTGGCTGTCCTTCGGCGGCGGTACGCGATCGCGTGTATCAGTCGGACGTGCGGCGAGAGCACACCGGTGCCCGGCAACTTGCGCGCGCGCGCGTGTGGAAAAAGTAGAAGGAATCGCGCGCGGTCCTCTATCGCCACGTTATTCGCGGCGCTCCCGACGCGGGCCGCGACGTGCCGGCAAAGGCGTAAAAACCGACTTGCCTCCTCCTGATCTCCGCCGTGTAAACGACTCCGCACGGCAAGATGGCGGAGCTGCAGGGCACCCCGGTGGCACAGGACGCCCTGACCGTGGCGCAGCTCGAGCTTGAGGGGAATCCGAATGCCTTGGCGCTGCGCAGGCCGTTCGACCCGGTGGCGCATGATCTTGACGCGTCCTTCCGACTGACGCGATTCGCCGACCTAAAAGGATGAGGGTGCAAGGTCCCTCAGGAGGTTCTTGGTAAACTCCTCGAGGGACTGCAGGCCGACGAAGCGTCCGCGCAAGATCACGAACATGCCCACTTTATGCACATGGCCATCCCGCGGATCGGTAAGCGAGCAAGCGAGCGGAATGAATAAATCAACGAGCGGAGTCGTCGCGGCATCTTCGATCACCGTGTATATTTTCTCTCTCTATCGCTCTCTCTCTCTCTCCTCCTCCTCCCCCCCCCCTTCCTTCCTCCCGCTCTTCCTTCGCCACGCAGTCTTTCTCGAGCGGAATTTTTGCGTAGAAAAATCGAGGGGAAAGTTAGTTCCCTTCCTCTCAAATTCTCGCGAGCAACGCGACGTCGAATTTCGCACACGTGTCGCTCCGAAGGCTCCGAGCCCGACACGCGGAGCCACGGCTCAAGATTCTTTTCTTCGATTGTCGCCTCGCGCCTACGCGAGGGGCCTGAAAGTGCCGCAAGGCAGCCCTGTTGCAACATGGCGGCCGTGTCGTCTCCCGCCCAATTTCTACCGCGGCCACCGGAAGCGCAGATGTTCTCAACCTCGAGCCCATAATCCGGCGAGGCCGACTCGCAAATTTGCAACATACGCTGCCTCAAATTTTATTCAAATGTACCGTAAATAGATGAGACATCGGGACACTCTGTGCTGTTCAATTGCAATTTTTTTTATGGCTAATTTCTAAAGACGTTCTTAAGACACTTTTGGAGCGAACGAAGTTTTCAAATTTATCACTTCCCCCCCTCCCCCAATTTCTTCGTCACTTTTTATAGTCCCCTATTATGGGATACGATCCTAATATGAGATAGCGGGTTTTCTGCTAAATTAATAGACGTTGTCTGTTGATTCCACCATGAATCGTCGCGAAAAGAGATTTGTAATTGAATTTGAACGTTGAGAACTTGATTGTCCCACCTCATAATGCAGAACTCACCTCTACGTTTTAAAATTTCACTGCTTTCTCATGTATAATATTATTTAGACTCGAAAATGTTTAATGGGGTGACATAACGCGCGCAACTATGTTCTGCTTTGAACATTTTCCCCCAATTTCTTCGTCATATTTTTCAAATTCCACTGCTTTTTTTGTGTGTAATATTATTCAGGCTCGTTCAATAACAAGCACGTCTGCGGTCTCTTAAAATTTAAAACATCTGCTATTTTTATACTGCATAGTAATCTAATAAATAATTGTAACATTGTTTCAGGCATTGGCATGGATTCCTCTGTCACGCCCGTGCGACACGGCGGGCTTAGCCTGGTGCAGACCACAGATTTCTTTTACCCGCTAGTCGACGATCCTTATATGATGGGTAAGGAAGGGGACGTCGAATCCGATGGGGACGCAATGAAATATTACGAGACCAAGTTGAATTAAAACGTCGCACTCGCGTTAAACGCGCAGATACAAAATGCTATGATAACGTCGCTCGTGTTATTTTGCATTCTTCATTGCTAAGGGAGGTGTTTTCCAGGTAAAATTGCGTGCACCAACGTGCTCAGCGATCTGTACGCAATGGGCGTCACGGACTGCGATAACATGTTGATGCTGCTGGGCGTCAGTACGAAGATGACTGAGAAGGAGCGCGATGTCGTTGTGCCACTAATAATGAGAGGGTTCAAAGATTCCGCTTTGGACGCGGGCACCACGGTGACTGGTGGCCAGACCGTCGTGAATCCTTGGTGCACCATCGGCGGGGTGGCTACCACTGTGTGCCAGCCGAACGAGTACATCGTGTACGTAATTGATTGTGATTAGCGTCACTGTTAGACTCGGCACCAAGTTTCCCTGTCGCTCTTGGTTTCAGGCCGGACAACGCTGTAGTCGGGGACGTATTGGTCCTAACGAAGCCCCTCGGTACGCAAGTTGCCGTCAACGCGCATCAGTGGCTCGATCAGCCCGACCGTTGGAACAGGATCAAGCTGGTAGTGAGCGAGGAAGATGTGCGGAAGGGTTATCAACGTGCAATGGACAGCATGGCCAGGTTGAACAGAACAGGTATATCTTGACCCTGATTCGTGCTGTATACATTGCTGGGGTATCTTCAATTTTGTAATTTCATTAACAAATTCCCCGACCAATTTGGAAGTAAGATTTCCGTCGCTGAAAGTATCGAAGAAAATTGCTATTTGTCTCTAATCTGTTAACGAAGCTTCGGGGTAGTTACAATTATAGTAATCGGCTTTCCTGCTGATACAGTAGAATATCTTGTATTCGTGAGGTATCCTAAAGAACGGCAGGTAGAGAAACGGGAGGAGTTTTTATACTATTTATTGTTAATATATAAGTAGCTAGTGACTCTCCTACATCCGTACCTTTATATGTACTTTGCATTAATTCGAATAAGTAATGTTCGGGGTGACGTTTTATTAAGGTACGTTTATACGATGAAACTAGTGTGAAGAATTCGTCGTTTCTGAAACGGGCTACGGTTTATTTCACGCCCCGTTACCAGCCGTTCAATCAATCTTTTATTAACTGAGGTAAACGCAGAGAGTTGAGGGCTGAGAAACTAAATTATGAATCGATCATTTTTACACGACGCCTAGCGTTGTGAATTTAATTGAGAATACAAGCGTTATGTACTTGTCTATTTACAATTAGTAAAATTTATTTTGCGACAATTGTCTTTTTCTCAAGTATTTTCGTAAAAAAAAGAATCGAATGTTTATCAGGGGATGGTTAGTAAAAATGTTGATGTTCTTCAGTTAAAGTAATTAAAATCAATAATGGCCGTTCAATTTTCCAGCTGCGAGATTGATGCATAAATATAACGCACATGGAGCCACGGACGTCACTGGTTTCGGTCTTCTTGGACACGCTCAAAATTTAGCAAAGCATCAGAAGAATGAAGTTTCCTTTGTTATCCATAATCTCCCTGTTATCGCCAAGATGGCTGCGGTGGCGAAGGCATGCGGGAATATGTTCCAGTTATTGCAGGGCCATTCAGCCGAGACTAGCGGCGGTCTGCTCATTTGCCTTCCTCGAGAACAGGTTAATAAGTTGCTCGTCAAATCATATCGTACATTGTTAAACTTATAGGTGTAGCGTCATTAGGTACATTTAGACAACCGGAGAAATATTAACGCACAGAATCTGATTTAGCTCAATACCAGGGACATTCGCTTGGCAAACGAATCAGTTCGAAATCTTTCCCGCTCGTATAGTTACAATTATAGTAATCGGTTTTCCTGCTGATACAGTAGAATATCTTGTATTCGTGAGGTATCCTAAAGAACGGCAGGTAGAGAAACAGGAGGAGTTTTTATACTATTTATTGTTAATATATAAGTAGCTAGTGACCCTCCTACATCCGTACCTTTATATGTACTTTGCATTAATTCGAATAAGTAATGTTCAAATTTAAACAAGTCTTGCCTACAAATCTAATCGGTTAGGTGTGGTGTTTAAGACGTAAAGCCCGTATTAGCGGATTGAGCGTGAGAGTAGATTGAAATTTGTCCAATTAGAGTAAAAGTCGCTAAACTTGCGATTAGTAAACTTTACTCCGATTGGTCAAATTTCAATCTAATCTCGATCTCGATCAGTAGTCCGATGCGTGCTTAAGGTTGACACGATTTTGAAAATTGTGAATTGCGTTTTGCAGGCTGCAGCTTATTGTAAAGACATCGAGAAACAGGAAGGATATCAAGCATGGATTATCGGCATCGTGGAAAAGGGCCTTCGCACGGCAAGAATAATCGACAAGCCGCGAGTAATTGAAGTTCCGGCCAAGGAAAAGGACGGCGAGCTCTGGTAAAAGAAAAGGACAGGGCTATCCCATATTTGCCTCCTCAATTATATGTACGTTCGTATACTTGGAAAATAGCACGCATACACACTCGACAGGCGCTTTTACGTGCACCACAGACAAAAAAAAGGAGTTATTTACTACGTATATCTGTATATCATTTACGGAGAAAAAAACATTTTAAGTGGTATTCAAATCTTAATTATTAAAAAAATGCAAAGTTTGAAAGCCAAATCATGCGAATCATCTGTATACAATGGTTCTTGCGATTTCATAATCAACTTATTAGCGAATACCACATCATTTTTTGTTCCAAGTCTCTTACCCACATATTGTAGAGAATCTGTTCTTTTTCTTCTGATATGTGGCATTTCTTTCCGTATTAATGTGTAAAACTGACTGCAAGTTTAAAAAGTTACGGCGATTATTTTTCTCTTGTATCAAGTACAGTTAAGAAGATGATAAATTTAGTATTTTTAAGATTAAGGTAGCACTAAGTTCTCAAACTAAGAAGCTTTCAAAACCGCAACCCGAATAAATATTCGACGAGCAAGGGGGATATACATATGTATATTATATCGGGTAGCGAATTTGGGTGCTCGGTGTTAACGGCGTTTAAAAGAAATATTGATGATCGTAAATAATTGCAAAGATCTACGAAGTATATTTTACAAGACGCAAAATGCAAAATGACTGGGTAGTATACGTTATTTTACATAGCAGATTACAAACTGGTGATGCGTAAATCAGAACGACAGTGACTTTCACGAAGGGAGAGATATTGTTAAATAAGTAGTATATATGAACGGAGAACAGAAAGGGGACACGTGGCGTTTTAGCCGAAACTGAATTAACAATGGTTCCTCGTTTCAAAATCAAAATTGAGAGAAAAAGCTTTTCTTGGCGAGGAGGCTCTGTCCTCGGGGCAAAGCAGCTAGTGAAAAAAAAATGCATTGCTCGTAAAATGAGCTCGGTTCTTCTCGAGTGCACAACTTTGTCAGATTTATCCCTTTCTGTTCTGACCGATTCATATGCAATAGCAGACTTATGATCCTCGCATCTCGGGGAGATATAATCTAAGAGTTCGAAGTAGAGCACCATACACACGCATACGCAGAGATGTGGAGTCCCAAAAAGAAAGACAAAGGCCTTCTACTTGTCTCCCGTGCATACGCTTTGAACGATTCAAGGAAGAAATTAAAGCACAGGCCCTAACGTTGTATTACTTTTTCATATGAATAAAGTGCTACTTTGTCAATAAAATTGATCCAGCCCTCCTCGTTATTTCCCGAGAAGTAGCTCCGATTAAGCTCCTTCATTTCGCCGAGCTCCCGGGAAGCTTACAAAATTCGACTAAACAAGTCTCCGATACGAGAGTAAGGCCGGTATTCATAGTCGATTCTTATTTCAAAATCATGTTAAGTATTGTCTTAAGACGCAATTACAGCTCTGTGATTGGTTGAAAACACATTAAGAGTATACTTAAGATGGTCTTAAGGGTCTTAAGTATAAGAACGGACTATGAATACCGGCCTAAGTCTTGTAGCGGTTTAAAGTTTTTCCTCATTTCTATTCTAAGAAAAGTATACTACGATGCATCAATGAGATTCTTCTGCGGTGTAGACGGGTGTAGCTACGCGTCGTCCGCACATTGACAAAAAACTACAGACGGTGCGCTTATCTACACCGAAAAAGGTTAATGCACTACGGTGTCGCTCGGCAAAATAGGTTAGGTTACATTAATTAAAAAAAGAAAGCATACTCATCATCGTCCATTTTACCAGTGTTGATTTATAGTATATTTTCTTATAGATAATCTATAAGAAAAATGCCACGTGAGGAGATAAGAGATCCAATTTGCTCGCAGGTTAGATTAGGTTAGGTTGACCGGAGAGAGAGAGAGAGAAAAAGAGAGCTTACAAACACATACAATGCGTACGTGTGTACGCCACGGCGATGCGTGTGAGCCTGTTTCTCGAGTGCCGCGGTACTCGCGCGCGCAAACGCAGTGCGTCCGTGCGGGAGAAGAAAATAAAAAGAAGCGGTCGTGACACACGCACCTATCGTGGCGACATGGTATCGATACCTGGGGAGACGCTTTATCGCCGCCTTGCGAAATGGACGCTTATCGGGTTATCTTCCTCGTTCGTACGGCGCGCTGACTAATCGATCGCTGCCGATACGCGTGCGGAACGACGCTCGTCTCTCTCCCGCGAGTCTGCACTGTCTGCAGTGCGCGCGGTTGCGCAACTCGCTCCGCAACTCGAGAGTCTGTTCCGCGTCTCCGCCTCGAGGACCTCGAGGTCCCCTGAGATGACGCAGGACTGAGGAGCCGTGCACACCTGTGGAAGAGTCGAAGAGGCGCAATCTTATCTACGAGATGACTCGATCGGCCTCGAGAGACACTTGGGAACGTCGCGACTGATCCGTGCTCGCTACGGGTAAACCACGAATTGTTTATCAGGTTTTTTTTCCACAAGAAACCTCATTGTTTACAAACGATTACTGTTTTCTTAAATAACGACGGTGTCTTTGCGGCCCCCTTGATTCCCCTATCACTAATTGTACCCTTTCTTTCCTAGGCTGTGGAAGAGGTTCTCTGTCAATATTTATTAAGCGAACATATGTGATAGCGGAAGGTATGAGACAGGCTCGTTAGCCCGCGGGAAAATGGCGAAAGAGAGATATTCCGTCAACCCCGAGGCGAATACGCTGTGCCACCGGAAGTCCACGCGCTGCATGAAGATCCCGCTGAAGTCGACCGAGCAGATATACCTGATATTTCTCGTGCCGACGCTGATCAGCTGTTTTGTATATATTGTTCACTTCGCTGCCGACTTGGTGGTAGCTATTCAACACTTCAAGGAGGACAATCCGCTATGGGGAATGGCCACCCTGGCAATTCTCTACGCGCCGGCGCTCATGTACTTCATACTGACGGTCTCGAGGCCCGACTGGTGGATGACGGAGGACGATAAGGTGTCGAAGGGTGTACTCGGCTGGTTCGCCCTCCAAGTGTGTCAGTGCGTAGGATTTGTGTTCTTCGTATTATACAGGTATCCTTTCTTTCCCATTGTCCTTGCTGTATCTAAGCTAACTCACTTACCATATGTATTTTTTCTTTTTCTGTTGCTCCTCTGTTGCAATAAACAGTCGTGCGTACAAATTGTGTACATTTTGACAGATACGCGGGACTCATTGTACTGTCCGTGGACGCTATCACTTTATCCGGGGACGAGAGAGTGAAGACGTTGAATGTCGCCGCGGCACCTGCGGCCATCGAATTGTACTTCTTTCTGCAGGCGTGGTTCCAGGCTGCACCGCAGGCGGTCTTTCAGGCACACCTGCTCTTCAGGCAGAGCTCCGTGCTTCGCAGCTATCAATCAAGTAAACTGAAGGATCATTTTTTTCATACGAACCTTTGTTCCTTTACAATTCGCAAGGATATGTGCACAATGTATCTTTATAATATACGTGTACAACGTATCTAATAATGACTTACATATGTGTTACACTTTTCTTTGCAGTTATGGTGCAGGTGCTCTGCATCGTTATGTCCATTGTAGTTGTGGCGATGAAGACAGCTTCCTTCCAGAGATTCGAGAGCCAGCGTGTGAACGGCAGGAAACTACCCTGGGCGATGTGGCTGAAGAGATACTGCATTCAGGTAGCGGATCCAGCGTTGCGATTACTATAAGAATGATATTCCACGGCAATTTCAAAATCATACAATTGTGACTAACAATAAAATGACTAACAATGACTAAGCTTCTAATCGACTGGCGATGTGTTTTTAACACAGAAAATTTATTGCGAAAAATGTTACCTCCATATTACGCATATTGTGCCTCGGTGGTCGAATTGGTGAGACGCCAGCCTAGAGTGTAGGGAGGTCCAGGTTCAAACCCTGGGCTGAGGTAATATCTTTCGCAATAAATTTTCTGTGTTAAAAACACATCGTCAGCCGTGGTCGATTAGAAGCTTAATCGACGAATATAATCAATGCTAATGTGATTCAAACCAGGAGCTGAACAATATCGAGGAAAAGGCGTCGCTACAGGCGCCACCCTCGCCTCCAAAGGAGCAAGAGGACACCGTGAACGCCGAAGCAACGCCGCCGGAAGCGAGCCCGGCCGTTGAGAACGAGCAGGAGCTCGAGGTCCAGCCGCACGCGGCTCTGCTGGACCGTCAGGTTTCCGTGACCCCGCCGTTACCACCGAAGAATGTACACGTGACGCCGCCGCCGACGCCGCTTCGCGGCATAACGACGGTCGCGCCGCTCCTGGTGCCGGACGTGCCGGCGCCGCCGCGTCCGGATTCCGTTTACACGGAGGACGAGGCGGCGAGAGCAGCGGCGAGCTCCGAGCCGAACCAAAGACTGATAGGCAGCAGCGCGCAGAGCCTGAAAGTTCCTAAACGAAAGTATTCCGAGAAGGGCCTCGAGGAGGACGATCCGGTAGGAAGGCTCCTGTCCTTCCTCTGGTGGTTCTTCTTCATCTTGGCGCGCGTGTTAGCCATCGCCGTGGCCTACGAGTTCTTCCCGAAGACCGTGCTGACGATGATGGCCGTGCACTACGCCGTCATGTTGATCTATCTGTTCTATTACTCCAAGTATTACGACGTCATCACGATCATCGTCAATCTCTGGCTCGGTCTGGTCTACATATTCAGCCTGATCGAGTACCGGATCAAGTTCAGGTATGCCGACTGGTGGACACTGCCGTACTATGTGTTCGTGATCGCGCAGAACGTGGCGTTGACGCTCACGTGGTACGTACACGCCGACTGGAACGGATTCTGGTACACCTACATATTCGGTACGATTCTCGGCAGCATGGCGCTCTGCGTCCTCTCGTCCGCGGTGTACCATGCGATGTTCAAGCCAAAGAAATGCCGAGTATACAGCAGCTGACGATCGTTGGAGGGGGCACAGGCCTTCAAATAAGTCTTCTGCGAGAGAATTGTACTTCCGCTTTTACTTTTGTACAAAGCGTGCAGGTAAACTGTAGATACACACTCGGGAGAAGTTGATCGAACCCTCCGGAAGAAACGAAAATCTCCCGAGCATTCTGGCGGCTTTCTATACTTTATTTACACCTTGTAGATGTGTTTTCGATTTTTGTTAAAGCTTTAGAGACCTCACGGTGTTGAGACATTTGAGAATATTTTACACAAAAGTATATTCATTTATTAAATCTATATTTATAACTTATCTATACTTCTGTATATTACAATTGACTGTCTTACACTAATCATATATAGAATGATTGGTATAGAAAAAGGCTTTTAGATATAATCATTGTTAGATTGGTGCAGAAGTTTCCCATACTTGCCAAATAGACGCAAACTTACAATTTGAATCAACTCAGATGAAATAATTGTACCATTTTTTCATCGAAAAAGTGCTTTGGTGCTCTTCCCAAGGACCAGTTTCACAAACATCGGTTAACTGCTAACTAGGGTTCAATCGCGACTCCCTATCTTTTTCCATCTTATTATTTAAACGAGAGACAGAGAATCTATTAACCTTCGGTTAGCAGTTAACCGATGCTTGTGAAACTGGCCCTAAGCAATTGCTGATTTTACTTGAAAGATGTCATAACAAAAATCTTACAACTCCCAACCAGTCTAATATTTAGGCAGCGCATTTTACTATTTGACAATATATTGTTTATTACGTAATAGCTTATATTACGTAAATCGCATTATATATATATATATATTTATATTTACAATATTGCATTTACAATGTACAGTTATATAAAAAGAAATTGTAGACTTTCAATGTATATCTCTCTAAGATTATCGGAATATTTCAACTCCTCGTCTTTATCTAAAAATCCAAATGTAATGATCTCAGGACGATCACGTTAACATTTGCTAAACAACAACGATGAAATGATTCCAGGAGCGTTGCGATACGCTAAATGGAACGTATTCTTAGAGACTCGGGAGAACATGGAAATATCTCTCATATGTAATCTCAATCATGTAATATTTTATATCCAATTGTGAGATCACGTTTATTCGATATCACGAATATTCATGAAAGTTTTTTTGTTTTAGTAGGACATTTAATTAGACGTAGATTTCTCAACAAATAATCTCGAACATTCAAGTGTCAAATCTCTGAAGATTGATGAATTTTTTAATCGGAACTCATAAGAGAGAATTAAATATGATTGAGACATATATAATGAGATACATAGATTTTTTCCCCATTTTTCCCGGAGCATTAAAAGATATCACAAAAGTTGAACGTTCGTCTTTTGATAAGGCTAGAAATATTAATATCATTTATGAAAATCATCATCTATTCATTCATATGAGCATACAATTTTCACGCACATACACGCGCGCGGGTTATATAACTAATCAGATAACTCTGTTAATCATATCACGTCGCTTTTCGCCGAGTCAGGCGAAAGACCAGTCTCTCGCGATTCATTAGGACATATAATATCGACTCGTAAGCCGTTTGTACGTCTTTCACACGTGGATAGTCGAGTCCCTGTGAAGATTACCGAGCTGAGCCTCAAATAAAATGTCGTTCACTAATTTCTCAGCTATTATCCTTTGGTCCAGTCTCATATTCCTGAGCTTGGCGGCAACATTGCGGCCAATCGCATCGTACTCGTCCTCCATCACGAATGTATTGTTGTGCGATATTCGCAGGGACGGATTCGACGATTCCGGTTCCTCGGATCCCCGAATCAACGGCGTCTCGTTCCAATCCGCGGGTTGTTCGTAAGGCTCTTCGTTCCCAGTCGTACATTCTTCCTGCGTGTGAATAAGTTAATTCACTTACAACGCGAAGAAAGAAAACTCTTTGATGTCGAGGTATAAGAAATAAGCTAACGAGAGAAAATCTAAGTGCAATCAATCTAAACGATTGAGAAATGTATAAAGATTTTTATTACGTGTACTTGGGACAAATCTTAAATAATTTGCATCTAACGTATATTGAAGTACAACTCAAGATAGTTGTGTTCAAACCTAATTTAATTAAGCTAATCATTGACCCTGTCTTTTCTAAAAGTAACTTTTTGTACTTAAATATTTTTCTAGGGCAGCGAAATCGAATTAGAAGTAGACAGCAAAGATAAGATGTTCTTACCATTTTACAGCGCTTATTTTGTGGGACCACACGCTTTTCCCGCACTATCTCGGGGCATTTATCAGGTAGCGTTGAGTTGACATATATCGCGGATTTCCTCTGATTAGATTTGCACCTTATTCTGCTCATCAGGTTCGGATGCAATCGCTACAAAAGTAATACGACGAAAGTGATGAAAATTCCTCGAGCTAAATCGCAACGGCGAAAGAAAGCTCGATGAGAGAATTTGGGCAGTCATTGGTGCACGATTAGTGACGTATTAAATATCAGAAGTACTGAAATAATGAATATTAAATGAACGTGAAACGCAACAGCACCGGGTACTAAATGACTGGCGTTTCGGTTTCTCTCACTTTCGCGATTACATTTACATAAAGATTGAGACGGGAAACTTATAGTCGACCCAACTGGCTAATTAAATAACTAGCCAGTTGGGTTGACTATAACTTTCCCGTCTCAATTTTTAATCATTACTGGTGACAATAAGCAAACTCTCCTTTCGTTTACATAAAGAAATCGTTCGTCCTTCTTTTCGTCCAGCGAATCTACACTGGCGCACGGTTCTGTCAGTTTGTAATAATTTAGCTAAATATATTTATTTTTTTTTAAATTTCTCTCCAACGAACTCTTGAAACACTTGGTCATGTTCTGTAATTCGTGAAATCGTGATCGGCTCCTTTACGTCACCATACACAGTTGGAAAATTGGTGTTTTCTTGTTGGAAAAACTGCCGGTTAAAGTTTTTGTGTTAAATGTTTAACACATTTGTGTGCTAATTTAACATATTGCTCTTGTGTTAATTGACCTTAAATGTAAAATTATTAAAATAACCGAAAGGAAATATTAAAACAACACAATGTGTACTTATTTTTAATCTGAAACAATACATATGTTTGATATTATTAGTAACAAAACGTATCTGCTGAAATTTACAGAATAAAATGTTGATTTTATTCTATATAGCATAAGTGAGAGTGGTTTCGAACCGTCTTTTGACTTACTATTATTATGTCTATAATACATCTGTAACACATCTGTAAAATGTAAAAATTACATTGGTTAAATTCATTTTGTCATTAAAAAACTATGTTAATTTTACAGAAAATTTATTTCAAATTATTTTGAGATTTGCATTTATTTTGTGTTAAAATATTAACAGAGTGTTAGTGTGGTCATTTAACATATCCATACTATGTTAAATTAACACAAAAATTTGTGTGGACCGTTTGGGACATGTGATATCTGTTAAATTTAACACAAATTTTTCAACTGTGTGGGTATTTTTCGGGCATTAGGCCTTGCTGGGGTATTATACAAATAAAATAAGATAAAACAAGATAAATAAGATAAAGCAATGCCCCAGTGGCCATTCATTGGTGGACAAGATTTGGATCAGCGATTTCCTCCTCACTTTGCGCCTACCTATAACAATACTATGCGTATCAATACTGATTCGAATCGTGAACCTGACAAAGCCGCTTCATGACTTATACACAGTCTTACTTTCGCATTAATCACGAGAATCACATCTCATTTTTGTAAAAAAAATTTCTTTTTCCCACATCAATGTCGTCCATCTCATTTTACTTCTTAATCTCTATACTTCCGACTTTAATTTATATAACTCATTTATTTGTCAACTCGTCAATCATACTTTACTTCTCAATTTTTATACTTCCGACTCTGATTTACTTAACTTATTTATTTATTTATTTACTCATTTGTCAACTCGCTCACGTATCAACTCTTTATTGAAAATCCTTGTAATTTCTTTGTTAGATCACCTGAGGACCACAAACAATGGCCGAGACGTCGTGAGCTTGAACATAAAAATTTGCCAGACACGGTCAAGCAATCTTCCGAACTTTTTTTAATTACTTCTGGCGACTTATAAGATTTCCTCCGATATTTATTTTTGTTTATCTAAATATATTCTTTTTATTAAAAGATAAGCTACCAAAGCTTCGATCGTGTCGAATTGTTTGTCGCACGCTCGGAAACGTAAAATCGAGCGTTAATAAAAACTGAACAAACAAAAAAATTTCCGGCGGGCCATTGCGGACGAGACGGAACGATACCGACCTCATGTTACGACATCGAAAACGACGATCGTTTATCTCTCAGATAGAAACTTCAAAACAGGGAAGTAAAATTGAGGCATATTTCAGAAGTGTTGAAAATATTGCCTGAAAAAATAAGCGAGGAACAAGCATCGTTTTCCACTCTTTCCTCCACCCCCCCCCCCCAATGTCGTCACTGATGACCGACAGAAACTGAAGAGACTCGGGAAGTTCAGCGCGACCATTTTGGCTCCGTTGGCCCATCTTCTTATTTATGCAGACTATTATCGTTACGAGCCGTTTCACTTACGGCGATTTCGATAATTTACCTTTACGTGACTAAGGAAATTGCCGGTGGACTTCAGATTGCCGTTTAATTGCTTCTTACACTGCTGGCAGCGCACCGTGACGTTGGTGTCCTCCACCCTGGTCACCGTGAAGTATTCCCCATCCAGTAAAGCAGGCAGTCTAATCGCAGTTGTCTTCTGCTCGACATTGGACTCGATCTGCGGCGTCACCTGATGTATCTCCGCCACCTGATGTATCTCCACCTGTTGCTGCTGCTGCTGCTGCAACGTCAACGCGTCGTGACTCTCCTGACTCTGCACTTGTATCTCCTGCGTGGGTGTCTGATTGTTGACAGACTGAACGATGTCGCATTGGTGATTCGCAGCGGTGACCATAGACTCGTCGTACGTTTCAAACGAATCCATCTTGCTCTCATAATCTTGCGAGAAGCTGTCCATAACAGCGGGTTCAGGTGCGGCCCCGGGAAGCGAGTGGCGTGCGAGCGGCGTACCGTCCCGCCTGGGTTTCGCACGCGCGGCCGAAGTAGCTGGGAAAAGGAGCGAGACCCCAGCTGTAAAACTTTCCAGCAATGAAACATCGGGGCGATACTTCATCCTTTGGGTCTTGTTGAATTTTAGATAAGCTTATTGAACTTTAGATAAGCCAGATAAGAGCGCGGCGCGGGGCAAATCTAGATCAGATAATAGATGAGAGCGTGTGTACGTGCGCTGGGTGATTAAAGCAGTCGTCGCGTACCAACCTCGGCGATCAGGGCTGCGCCCGGTTACGTCCGCGCATCGTTACGGACCGGGTGTCCAAGCGGGTAACGGCGGACGTTCCATGGGGGCTGCTCTCCTCCGTAAACACGCAGGCAGGCGGCAATTGCTCTCGAGAGCTTTTTAACTATCCCAATCGTCCGCGTGTGGTGGCGACACTGAAGTAAACAAAGCATTTCTTTGAGCCTCGGCTCGGCCTCGCTCTCGCCGTCTCTCTTGCGAACGGAGTTCACTCGAGGCAAATACAGTTATAAGCGATCGTACCATCTCTCGCGATGTTTCAGCAACGAACGCCTCGGTGGCCGGAATCCCGGTCGGCGCGCATAACCTGTAACTCGATGGCGACCGGTGCGCGCCGGGCGCGCACTATCACCGAGCGGGTTCGGTCAAGCGGGACGTTCTCGCTCGCTCTCCCCGTCAGCGCGCAATTAAGACGCGGCGAGGAAGTCGGGGAAAAAAACTTACGTTCATAACCTAAACTCGTCGCCGCCGATAAATCGGCGCTCGCTCGCCTGGCGACGACACCGATGACCGACGGACCGACCGAAGAGTCATGGCTCATTCAGACTGAACGCGATGAGCCGATGAGCGATGAGCGACGCGCGATATCCAATGGGCGTGCAGTCTTTAGTCCCAGTCTACAATAGATGATTTAAGCCCTAAGCTTTAAGAAATTGGCCAATCACGGTCAAGTATGAGAAGAATGCGCGACTGTGATTAGTCAATTTCTTAAGGCTTAGGGCTTAAATCTCTATTGTAGACTGGGACTTATGGGAAAATGTACGCTTTCCCATAAAACCTGTACGCTCATTGGATAATCGCGCATCGCTCGTCGCTCATCGCGTCCAGTAATGAGCCATGAATGAGCCATCAGGCAGGCACGCAAGTCAGGCCTCAAGGCTCATTCAGATGAATTAAGTCTCGTCTACATAAAAGTCGTAAAGTCGTAGTCGTAAAGTCGTGGTCGTAAAGTCGTGGTCGTAAAGTCGTAGTCGTAGAATTGTAGTCGTAAAGTCGTAATCGTAAAGTCGTAGTCGTAAACTCGTAGTCGTAAAATCGTAGTCGTAAAGTCGTAGTCGTAAAGCCTTGTGTCCACGATCCAAGAACCGTGTCAAAGTTCTAGTTTTGAAAAATGTGTAGCCAATCAACTTGCATCTCTTATGGAAAAGCTGCAAGTTGATTGGCTACACATTTCTCGAAACTAGAACTTGGGCCAAGTCCTAGTATCGTGGACACAGGTCTAAAGCCTCCGCTACAATGATTCTCGGTTCTGTCTACAATGGTCATAGTCGTAAGAATAATCGACTGCGATTGGTCAATTCTTATCGAGCGACTACGACTACGACCATTGTAGACAGAACCGAGAATCATTGTAGCGGAGGCTTTATTCTTACGACTACGACCATTGTAGACAGAACCGAGAATCATTGTAGCGGAGGCTTTATCGAGCGACTACGACTACGACCATTGTAGACAGAACCGAGAATCATTGTAGCGGAGGCTTTACGTTCCGAATTGTTGCCGGGGGTTGGGAGGGGGGGCTTCTCTTCAGCTGTGGAAGGGATCACCTGATGCTCGCGCCGCTGCGCGTGCGCGAGGAAGCGAGGACTCCTCCGTTGGCGTCACTGCGTCGCTGGCGACGCTCTTCGTGGCGTGTACGGCGAGAGTGTGCGTCGTCTCGTCGGCACGGGAGACGATGAGCGGGCTGCGACGCGCACGGTGATGAGACAGCGGCGGTTTTCACGCACCGAACGACCCTCCGCAGCGTAATCCGTGCCTCCTCGCCCCGCGACCACGTACGGACTCGTCGGCATGTCGGCACCTAGCGCGGAGGAGAAGGCGGAGGCCGTGGAGGAGAGTCAACACGCGAGGTATATTTCCCCGCGCTTTCTACCCCCCCTCTCCCGCCCCTGAGGCCCGGTTCTCGCCAACGTTGCTTCAACCTCGGGCTCGCGGCCTAATTCGTTCCCCGCGTCACTTTTCAACTGTTACTCCGTGAAAGAGACGAGGGTGAATTCAACTGGGATCGAAGTCAGGCGACGTTTGGCGAAACCGGGGGGGAGAGGGGGAGGAGCTAAGGTCCAGTTTCGCAAACGTCGGTTAACTGTTAACCAGAGTGAAATAGTACTCCGTATCTATTTCTGTCTTATTATGTTTAATAAGAGGCGGAGAATCGATTGATCTTTGTTTGTGAAACTGAACTCTAAGGGCCCGGTTTCGCCAGACGTCATTTAACTTTCATCCTAGTTTGCTTCACGCTTGTCTCTTTCTAGATAAACAGTTGGAATGAGACAAAGAACTAAGCTAACAACAAGCTTAGGCCCGGTTTCATCAAACGTCGCTTAACTTTGATCTTAGTTTAGTTCACGTTCCTTTTCTAGAGTAGCAGTTGGAATGAGACAAAGAACTAAGTTAACAATAAGCTCAGGCCCGATTTCACCAAACGTCGTTTGACTTTGATCTTAGTTTAATTCACGTTTGTCTCTTTCTAAAGTAACAGTTGAAAAAAGGCAAAGAATGAATTGAGCTAAGCTCAGGCTTGATTTTGCCAAACGTCGCTAAACTTTCATCTTAGTTCACTTCACGTTCGTTTCTTTCTAGAGTAACAGTTGGAAAGAGGCAAAGAACGAGTTAAGCTAAGTTTAAGCCTGGTTTCACCAAACGCCGCTTAACTTTGGTCTTAATTTACTTCACGTTCTCTTTCTAGAGTAACAGTTGGAAAGACACAAAGGACGAATTAAGCTAAGCTTAGGCCCGGTTTCATCAAACATCGTTGAACTTCATCTTATTGTTTAATTCACGTTTGTCTCTTTCTAGAGTAACAGTTGGAAAGAGACAAAGAACGAATTAAGCTAACAATAAGCTCAGGCTTGATTTTACCAAACGTCGCTTAATTTTGATCTTAGTTCACTACAAGTTTGTCTCTTTCTAGAGTAACAGTTGGAAAGAGACAAAGAACGAATCAAGTTAAGCTTAAAACAACGTTGGTTAAACCGGGCCCAAGTGATTTTGTAACTTCAGGGTTCGCGCTAAGACAAAACGCCTTGTACGCCAATTCAATCTCGAGACACTCTTTACTTCAAAAGTGTTACTTGAGGTGCTCTTCTTTAGTTTTGAGTTAGGTTTTGGTACTTTAGGTGTATTTTGTTGTAGCAATTCAAAAGCATTGGGAGAAATTACTTGTGTACCTAGATAAACCTTAGAAAATAAGTTCAAAGGTGTAAACGTAACTCATTAAACAATTTTTTCGGAGTCATGACGTTTCCTTAGCAGGGCAGCTTTAATGCTGATGTCCATAATAAGTTTTTTCTCTCTCCAATGAAGTATTTCTAAACTCTTGTAATATGAAGTTTAATCTCGGCTCGTTAATATTTTTATCTCTTGCAGAGATACGGCGCACCATTGATCGTCTCATGAAATCATTGGCGAACTAATTTAAAAAAACTTTTATTTCGGAATTTTATGAAAATATCGGTTGACCATGTCTGTCGCGCAACGTACGTTTATTTTGACTCCGGATAATATCAAGTTAGAGGAACAAATTGTGACTTTCAGCGAGACGGACACGCCTAGTGCCACCGCAGCGAAATCAGAGACGGGTAAAAACACAGATGCTGAGAGTTCTCAAAGTAGGAAATCCAAATTGTCGCCGGATCACGAGCGGCCGTCCAAGGTAGCGAAGCGCGACATCGAAGAAGATGCGTCGTCCGCTGTGAGTACCTTGACCGTACGTTGCTGCCTCGAGCACCGAGAGCGTCGCTGATATATTTTCTGTCGCAGAGCACGAGCGTTCCCTCGGACCTGACGACGTCCGGAAGTGGCGAAAAAGATAAGGATGCGACTGACGTAAACAGGTCCCTTGACAACACAGCCCTGGTAGCCGACCATTACAACGCGCTTGAAGAGAAGGGCCTTTCACAGAGAAATCAAAGTCGCATCGTGTATATGAGGAATTTCAACAACTGGATTAAGAGCATGCTCATAAGTAAGATCAGATTTTTAGCTACCGACCGAATGACATTGTAATTTATGACAGAAAGTACGAGCAGGAACTTACGAGGTCTGTCCGGAAAGTATCCGACCTTGTGCTGCAGCGGGAGAAAGAGCTAAATCTGATCAATGGCGACGTGTCCCCTTCAAAATACTCCCTTTTGGAAGCTGCAACCTTCTCGCAGCGATCGCCCCCACTTACGGAAAGATTCTTTTTATTCAGATTCCGGAATAGCTAACAGTCGCTTCGTCGCGTTTCTTTTTATTTCTCCCACGTCTTCGAATCTTCTTCCCTTAAGAGGATTTTTCAATTTGGGGAACAGCCAGAAGTCGCAGGGAGCCAGGCCAGGACAGTACGGGGGCTGACGAAGCTGAACAATGCTGGGTTTCGCGACGTGTTACCAAGTTATCTTATATTTGTTTATATTTGTTACTTTAAGTGGCCATGTTATTTATCAGAATGGAATCATGTTTTTCCACTTAAACTTTCTTGTATGCGAAGTAGGAGCGGGATTGGGAATTGAATCTTTTGCATTATGGGCAACCGCTTTATCACTGAGCTGTCCGGCACCTCGAAATTAATCACAGTCATAAATGTTAAAGTTTGAAAGTACAAACAAGTATCTTGCTCCATTTTTTTCAACTAGTCTTATTGCTTTGATTAAATATCAATTATGCTTGCACTTTTTATTAAATAGATATTGAATTGAATTTATTCTTGTTTATTAGATGAATACGTGGTCAAGGTGAGACAAGGCAAGAGCTTCGGCGCCTCGCTCAGAGTATTGGACATGTGCTGCGGTAAGGGCGGAGACCTTCTCAAGTGGAAGAAGGCCAATATTTCACATCTGATCTGCGCGGATATAGCGCAGGTGTCGCTGGAACAGTGTCAGCAACGGTACAACGATATGGTGAACAGGAAAGGTTCCAAGGACAGAGGTTTTGCTCCAATTTTTACCGCGGAGTTCATAACAGCTGATTGCACAAAGGTAGAGGATCGTCTTTATGAAGATTATCGGATGATTTAAGGCCTTAACGCCCGGTTTCACCAACGTCGCTTAACTTTAAGCTTGGCTTAATTTGTTCTTTGTCTCTTCCC